CTCCAAAACCTCATTCTATTCACAAAAACGCTGGAGAGCAGGAGACGAGCAATAGCAATAAATGTCTAATGATGGGTGTTATTTCTCAGCATTGCTTTGATTAAAGGTAGATGCTCTCTCTTTCTTTTTGAGGGGGAGTGCCAGACTCTCTTTTTTTTGCCCAGGCTCTGCCTCTGTGGAGCAGCGGGAAGCTAGAGTCGTGATGGTGAGCGGGAGTGGGAGCATGCAATATTTATAACAGCCGAGAAGCCAGCACACCGGATTGTGTGAGATATTTCCCTCCACCCGTACAGTGCACAGCACTCACTGCACAACCTTTCCAACCTGCAGCCTACTGCCTCCTACACCTCTCTCCCCGGCCTACTCCATCTGTGGAGGGGAAGGACGATGAGGCATATGCACTGAAAAAATACAGTGATGAACTGAATGTGATTGAATCAAACGTGTGCATTATTTCCATACAAATCCAATTTAAATATCATACAAATACAATTCTGCCCTTCATTTTACTTTCTTTCAGTAATATTTGATACTTCAGTGATCTGCTCACAAACCTATTCTCTGCCCACTAATACATCTTTTTTAGCAACTGTATTGAGACAGAGTAGCGTTAGCAGTATTGCAATTCAACTTAATGGGAATTTGGGGCACACAGCTCAGTTTTTGTCCAAGTAAATTAAAGTTTCATTATGTGTTATGTGTTATTAAAATAAAATGATTTTAAAAAATGATTTTAAATGATTTTAAAGGCCGCACAGTTATGATTGATTTTTTTTTGGGGGGGGGGCTAACATTAGCATAGCAAGAAATTCACTATTGTTGTTTCAAATCCTAATGAGCACATGTTTTTACCAAAATGTGTAAGTTTACAAAACATTATTCATTTAAAATGATTTTTCACTGGTATGGTCATTTAGTTAGTATGGCTTGGATGCAGGTTTATGGGTTGAGCTATTGTTAGCATGGTGATCATTCGTCATTTGATTGTTGTCATTTCAAACCATTTTCAACCTAAGTATTTGTTTTTTGCTATAATATCTACATTAAGAATCAGTTATTAATTTAAAAAGATTTTTAATTCGTATATATAAGAGTCAAGATAAGATAGAGATGTAGTGTCCTAATTCTTGTTAAGCTAACGTTAGCATGGCAGCAAATTTGTTGTCACTTCAAACCTTATTTCAGACCTATTTAAACTAATAAGAATGCGTTTTTGCAAAAATATTAAGCTAACAATAAGCTAACATTAGCATGGTGGCAAATTCATTGTTGTATCAAACCTAGTTTCATTTAGCAACCATGACAACAGAAAGGAAGGAGCTCACATGACAGTGCAGCTCAGTAGTGTCGCATTTCAAACTCAAAGTTAGCATTTGTAGTGACTCTAAACAAAGTGTGCTAAAACATTCTCTTTAATCTACATGTGATTTTTTGCCAGTGTTCTGTAAAGCTTGTCCAAGTCCAACTGAGCAGCCAATGTTACGAAGGAATGTATGTGTTGTCGGAGAATAGATAGGTCTTTTATACTATATTTTATTTATGTGGAAATGATTTTCAATCAAGTGAATTCAAATGCGTACTTTTTTCGGTGTGCTAGACTGGAGGGAGAGCATGAAACGACAGGCTACTGTGGGAGGAACGCAGGCAGTAATGCCCACGCAAGCAGTTAGCAACTGTTCCTGATTTCCATAGACAACACTGCTGCACTTTGCATAAAAGAGCAGTGGAATCTGCCTGGGAGGTGGAAAACCATAAAACTGGCACTTGGTCGAAAGAGACAGTTCTCATCAAACAGGTTCAGCAAGGTTTTTTATTCCTGTGAGGACACAAACACTCACGTTCACACTTTGGACAGTTGCAGGAGAAATCCTACAAATCATTCAACTTCAAATTCAGTGAATATATTTGCAGACAAAACAATAACATGTATCCAGTATGCAGGCCCTGAATTGATTCCTAGGTTTAAATTGGAATTTTCAAAATTTCTGCATATTTCAATCATTTAGATGTAAACAAAGTCATTCAGTGTGCTACAGTGGTGGTGATGATGTGAACCAAGGGTTGCTGTGTATACAGCGCAAACATGACAATTTTATTTGCTGTCTGAAACCACCAATGAACCTACACGTGTTCTGAGGTTTTACACAAGATGCTCATAATGGTAAACTAGTGGTAGATCTGGTAAAATACATTTTCATTTGAGATTATTTTGCCTTACAAAGCCCTACATGTACCATTCCACCATAAACAGATTTTAGAAGTGACATTTTAGGCCAAAACCTTTTATAATAAATTATAATAAATTATGACTTTCAGTGAGGGAGATTTAAGTACCATTACCCTCTTCAGATGTCTGCTTCCTATCACTACTGCTGTTAAAAATCTGCTGCTGTCTGAATCAGTAAGTTTCTCTTATAGAGAGCCATTTCACATTAACCCACTCTGAATGACTTTGTTTACATCTTAATGGTTTAACTGTGCAGATATTTTGCAGCATTGATGGAATTCCCCTTTAATCTTACACCATCTGTGAAAATATAAAGCTTAGAGGGGCCAGAATGTAACTGCTGCACCAGTTAAGGTGGAACAGAGAATTTGGATAAGGATTGAGTGATAGTGAGTAAAAAGCAACTTCACTATACTATTTACTATTTCTATAAGCCAATATCATTATTCATCACATGCTGTATATTACACTACACTGCATATGCTATGTTGTGCTTTACTATTTATTTATACAGTCTGTGTCCTGTTTTAGACTAGAACCCATGAGGATTATGTACATTACACACAAAACTGTCAAAGCAAACGTGATTCTATTACAAATCACAAAGGCAAGCGAGACGCATGTTTTTCTCGAAATAGAAAGTACAATGAGCCCTCTCCATTTGTGCCTGCTGGTTCCCATGGTTCCCTGTCCTCGTGTCCTCACACTCTTTCTCACACTCCTACACACACCCACTTGAGCAGCCACCCACACACATATACACACACACACATCATAGAGCGCAGTGCACCTTCATCTGCGCTCATAAAAGAGATGTACAATAGTAAAAGGAGGAGGAGTCAAATGTGGATATAAGATGGGCCTACTGTTCTTTTTTCCTCTTCCTCTTCTGATTTGTATATTTCTTTTATTACTGGGAAAAAGGAAAATAACTGCTCTCAAGCAGCATAACATGGACAAGTGTGCCCCCAACTGGAATACCTGCTCTTAGTATTCTGTTTAAAATAGATTCATTTGGTGTATGTGGCACAAGCCGTTCATTCAATTCAATTCTTTTTTTTAATAAAAGATGTCATCACAAATCAGCTTTGGAGAACCCTGGGTCCAAGCCCACAGTGAGCAATCCAGGGCACATCATGGCAGAAAAAAGTCTCTAAGAGCATGAGGAAGAAGCACTGAGAGGAACCAAGACTCTGAAGAAGAAACTAACATGTTTTCTTGTTTTTTGGTTTGTTTTGTTTTATTTTGTGTTTTAACCTCTTCAACTCCTTGAGACCACCGGTGGTTCCAAAACGCACTTCGTCATATTCTTCATACCTTTCATATTTCATAAGCTACATTCAAAAGGTGGGTGTCATATGAGAGCTGTAACTGTCTTCTTTCCAGTCAAATAAATGGGTAATGTAATTTTAAAACCTTATAAGAAAATAAGCTGAACTGAGCAATTTTTTTTGTCTACTGAAAGTCGACCCATTTTTCCACGAATCTGGGCTATAAACTATAAACAGATGGTGTCTCTTCAGTGATCTGCTCTGTACAAATTATTTTTATAAAATAATACAAAGAGCGTCTAAATTTTTGGCTTTCAGCAGTAAATTGTAAGCATATAGCAATATGTGTATGATCATAAAACACATGTTCTGTTAATCTGAGGGGAGCTTTTACAAATACTTAGTTATCTAAGTGTTACCTCCATAAGAACATAAGGAAGAAATACTGAGAGGAAGACCTAAAAAACCTACCCAAAAAGCATGAAGCAGAAACACTGAGAGGAATCAAGACTAAAAAAGTCACAAAGAACATAATATCAGAAATCATTAAATGTTTCTTGTGGCTCCTGGTGTTTCTTTACTCTGTTTAGTTGATGAGTTGAAATCACAATGTAAAGGATCCTAATGGCTTAATAGGTGACTTGTAACTGATTCGAAACACATTTGATGGTTTTCTAATATGATCTACAGGGGTTTTACAGAGAACTAGTGGTCTCTTATTGTAACTATTAAGCAATTTCCAGAAAGCAAGACCATCAGCTAATGACAGGGTCTGATTACTGGGGCTGAAACATGACACTGATTCTGAATGATGCATCAGTTCTAAAGACTGTGATGCAATTTCGTCGATCCACTCTACACATAATGATACAAACTGTGAAAATATACATTTGTTTTGTTTTAGAGCACTTTGCAAGACAAAGACAAACCATGTAGTTACCCCATTTTTTGTTAAAGTTAAAAGATATAAGGTTTTCACTTAAGCTAAGCTTAATACAGTGTGTCCCAAAAAAACTGACATCATGTCATAGTCTAATGACATAGCCAGTTCTCCCTCAAATGATCTCAAATTTTTGACAAAATTCAATAGAAATGCACCAACTGGAAAGCTGATTTGGACATGGCACAAAAAATTCAAAGAGGAAGGCTGTCTGTGCAGGGCAAAGGGATCTGGACGACCACCAGTATCAGAAGATATTACATTTGTGAAGCTTTGTGAAATCAGTTATAAAATCTACATCCCTCTGAACTTCTTGTTCGAATTTTGATAAATAAATCTTGTATTGTTCAACATGAAGCCTATTTAATTTTGTTTGCCTAGGACATGTAGTTACTCAGATATTCACATCTCAAATGATGTCAATTTTTTGGGACACACTGTAAATGATAACAGTCAAGTTCACTAGTGTTTTGTGTTCTATCCATCTAGCCATTGAAAAAATAAAGACTTTTATTTTGAACTGTATCTTCTGGGTGCCATTTTGGAAATTCTCCTTGGTGCAAAGCATGTTGAGGAAAATTGAAAACGTCTCCCGGCGCCGCTCAGAGTCTCGAGCCTCTGAACTCTGAAGTGAATTCATCTTTTTTTCTGAAACATTTGTGAAGTCCTCTGAAAATGGACGAAGAGCTTACAGTGAGTTTTAGCATAGACGAAACTCATTTTATGAGAAATCATGTTAACGTTAATGCGAGGCTGAAGTTGGCTTCTTATTCGAATTTCCCGTTCCACCTTAAATGTTGTAACTACTGCACCATTTAAGGTGGGACGCATAATTCGAATAAGTCAACTTGAGCCTCGTATGTTCGCTGGTTAAAACTGCAAGTCCAGCCACCAGTCAACGAAGCTGATGTCAGTTTGTGCGAAATTTTCCGTTCCACCTTAAATGGCGCAGCATTAAAGTGAAGGCATATCGGCAAGCCTGTTAAAAATAAGAGTGGTTTAAAGATGGTCTTATGTGTACAAACCTGACGAATCATTTGTTTTGGTTTTCAGGACGGGTATAAAGAACCGTGTGGGCGGTGTGGAGCTGTTGCATGGGCTTTATCAGACGGCCTACAGTTCTTCTGCAAGAACTGCCACAACGTGATTGAGGTATCCGATATTTTTTATGTTTCATGGTTAATGTACCGATACTCAAACTGTAAAGTTTATCAAATGCAAAAATCGACACGTAATTGTTTTGGATTAGCATTACAGAGAAATATAAAATGTATTAATGTAGGGTTACAAATGCAGTATAATGTATAAAATGCACAGTTTGACCCATCACATAAACATTCTGGTCATCTGGAGTACAGTAAATAACTGGAATCGTCAGATATCAGTTTGATATATTGGCCAAATCAAAACATCTGTGTGATGTCGATATGATTTTGGTATCTTCATGCATCTCTACAACTTTCTTACCCTAATAAACCTGTATGAGGGTTTGTGATCATTGCTAAAAGTATAAACAAACCAGTCAGAGCTAGTTCCCCAGAAGCATCTTAGTGTTAAGATCATCTACATTGGTAGAGAGAGTATTCAGTGCAATACTGGCTTTACCATTTAAAAGCTTTATGCTAAGATACTTTTGAGGAGAAAAAGAAAACAACCCTTGTTTCAGCATATAACAGTATAAAAGTGACACTGACTGTTGCATTTAAGGTAGATGTATCATCAGCATTGAACTCTGGATGATGGAGACTTTTCCGTATCTTTATTTTTGACATTTTATGTTGTTGTAAACAGAGAACTCAAGAAGTTGTGGATGTAAGCACATACCTCCTGAACAACAGGATATCCACATTATCGCGCTCCCGCAAGAAGACTGGTAGAGGTTAGTCAGGATTTTAGCTTGAGCTAGAAGTTAATTAAAATATGTTCTAAGCTACATGTCCAAAAGTATCTAGACACTCCTTATAATTAGTGAATTCATTTAATCTTAGTTGCTCCTATTTTAAAGCACACATTCAATTTTTCATGCACAGCTTGTTTAATCTCAATAGAAAAGCATTGCTAATAGAGTGTGACACACTGGAACAGCTACACACCAGAGCCTTAGGTCACTGTGCAAAGCTCCAAGCCTCAGAAAGAGGGATATAAAGCCCCCCAGCATTAGACTGTGGAGCAGTGATCTCTGGAGTGATAGAGCTCCATCCAGTACCTTTGGGATGAATTGGAGTGGCGTTGGTAATTCAGAACTAATCGTACAACATCAATATCTGACTTCACCAATGCTTTTCTGGCTGAATGAAGTCACATCCTCACAGCATGATGTTTCAACATCAGACGCCCCATTAATACCCTTGACTAGGAAAGTTGAAAAGTGAATGTTGAGTAAGCAGGCATCTGTACACTTTTGGACATGTTGTGTCATTTCTGGTGCTCCTTTGACATTGTGTCAATGATTTAGCAACACATTAATTACTTATGAGGTTTGAGGCCAATGTAGAAGTGCTTTGTCAACCTTGTATGAATTTCCAGAAGGTGGACGGCAATGGATGGTATGCGAAGGCTTTCAGTTCATCCTTAAACATCAGGCAGAAGCTCTGGTTGGTCTAGGTGTCTGTCCTCAGTTTAAGGTCAGTAAAACACCATCACTTAGCTAATGCAGGTGATGAGAAGATTTATTTGTTGTTTAATTTAAATGAGTTATATCTCACAGACAAACGTGTTATGGGATTTCTGGAAGCAATACCTTCAGAAAACCAGGCAAGCTTACACAAGGGCACCAGTGAGCAGTACCATGAATCCGGTGGTGAGTATAAAGCAGACGCTCTGCTGGCCATTACACCCCAAGTGCAGTTTATTTGTGTGGTTTGTTGAGCCGTAAGTAAATTAATTTAAACTCGCATAACTGATAATATCGTGCAAACCAAACGCGATTTTTGGATGGTGAAAATGCTACAATAATTTATTCACGCTCTGTTTGATTTGAATGAACATGAACTTGACCAATTACTGCTGGCCCTGTGGTTAGCATTGCAACAGCCAAGCTGACTGATGAGCTATCTGAACTTTTTTGAGAAATGGTGGCTCCAAATGCAGCTCACACTGTGCTGCGAGCATCCAAGTTATAGTCGTATGCAAAAGTTTTGGCACCCCGGTCACATTACATCTTTTGTTGGTTTTCCAAGAGAAAATTAGTTAACACTTTGCACATTTTAATACACAGTTACTGTTTGTTGAATTTCACACATATTGGGGAAAAATTTAACATAACATGCAGTTATAGCACAGCTTATTATTTATGTTTGTCAAATATGTTGAACTGAAAAACTTTGCACTGAAAGTTGCAGAAAATCATCAGAAAATATCATATTCGTATGTGTTTCCAATAGAGGAAAACAATCAACAAATTAAATTTGAGTGGGAGAGTACATACATTTGTATTCAGTTGTGTATTTAAAACTGCTGTATTTAAAAGTTTTGGCTGCTGAATGAGGTGGAGAAATGCTCCATGCTCTTTTTGCTTTTCCAGAGTAGCCTGCTCAGTGTCACTCAAAGACATTCTTTCTGTTTGTTTCTTTCATAGCATAAACACCACAGCAAAATTCCAACAAAAAATGACATTGTGTGCTGTGTGTATAGTTTTGGTGCAAAAAAAAAAAAGTATGAATATTTTGAATATTTTGCATTTTTGTGTTGTTTACATGTACCTTACTCTGCATGTAGCAGACTTAATTCTAGACTCAGGCTTTTTAAATGATAGATGTGCCAGATTGTAGTATAAATGGCAGTTCTCATTGTTGTTTAAATTATGTCGTAAGCTAATAGGTAATCTACCAACTGTAATTTGACAATACCCCTTTCTCAAATCCACTCTTCAGGACCTAAGCTCTGAGAGTGAGCCTGAGTCTGCATTTCTGAGTGAAGCGTCGGATCTGAGCGGGCCTACCTCAGCCTCTGGTATCACAACACCCACCTTGCTCTTTTCTGTCAAACCATTTGCCTTCTCACTGGACTGTCTTAAGTGTATATATAGAGAATATAATTTGTTTACTTTTTTATTTATTTATTTATTTTTAGCAGAGTACTCCAGTGATGGGAAATCCTCAGTGTGCTCAGGATCGCTAGATGCTGCATACTACTTTAATGCAAAGGAGAGGAGAAGCCGCCATCTCATGAGCATGCCTCGGACGCTGGCCCTGTGCCATCTGGCCCTGCTGTGGCTGCGGGAGGCCATTACGCTGGCAGACCTGCTCCGGTGAATAAGAGAAGCACTTGTGTGTCATTTTTAGGTTTGCTTCTTTATTTTGCATTGCCGTTATGAGGCTAGTGTAGCTAACAAGTAATGTAGACGCTTACCTGGCCAATTAGCGTCGCAAATTGCATATCTCATCATTACACAAGCTTGTGTGGTTTCTGATACAGCAGGTAAAAGTGGCCCAGATCTTCTTCTGCATATGTGAGAAATGTTGTGTGTTGCAGTGTGAACAGCAAAAAACTCATTGAATCTGACATTTTCAATTCTGATTCTGACACTTTCATATGTGGTACTGAAACCTGATACGTTTCTGATAATGTGGCAGTGCGACTCAGTTTAAACAGGCATTCATGCAGCTAAAGTCAATCCAATTTGACATTCATCATAATTTCATGCTGCTGAAACCTCATGAACCAAAGTAGAAGACTTGTCCAAATCACTTTAAAAAAGTTAAGTTCGAAAGCTCAATTTAAAGAAACCAAGGATGCGAACCAAAGAAGTTGCTGTGGTCAAATAACATGCTCTTATTACAGCTAGCTCAAACGCATTCTGGGTGATGAGCCCAGTTGACAGCCTTCAGAACTACTTGTTAGCTCCTGTGATGCTGGTGAAGATGAAACTGAAACCTCTGAGAGCACTTGTTACTGCTCATTTCATTTTGATTGTTTACCTCTGGATGAGTGTGCCACATGAAGCATTGCTCTTTTGTGCATGTGGGGCAGTTTAGAGCATGGTCTGTTTAGACTAATGTTGCATATAGGCCACATTTAAAAGATATTGTGAACAACCTAACAAAGAAAATTAGATTTGGGCCTCTTTTACCTGCTGTGTGAACATAGCAATACTGACACAAAAAACAGACAAAAGTTCAGTCTTTGTTCCTGTTTTTTTTGGTCCAGTGTACTGGGAAAACCACATAGGGTGGGTTGGGTACCATTTACATTTGACCCAATACCGGTACCAGTACCTGGAATTCAGTATCAGTACCCAATGGCACTTTGTCTGGTAGTCTAATCTGTAATAACTAAAAATGTAATTTCAGTTGTAAAATAAGTTTAGGCTTTTCAGTTTCAACATTTTGTTATTTATTTAAAACATTTTACACACCACAAAAAATAAAACCCCTCTCTACCTCCCTCTCCCCTTCCAAAACCTTCCCTACAACCCTACAGCTACAGGTGTATAAAATTGAGCACCTAGCCATGCAGTTCGCGTTACAAACATTTATCAAAGAATGGGTAGTTCTAAAGAGTTTACTGAATTTGAGAGTGGTACTGTAATAAGATGCAACGGTTGCATCAAGTCAGTTTGCGAGATTTATTCCTTCCTAGATATTCCATGATCAACTGTGAGTGGTATTTTTGAAAAGTGGGAGCATTTAGGAACCATAGCAACTCAGCTACGAAGTACGAAGTAGACCACGTAAAGTTACAGAATAGGGTCAACAAGTACAGTGCTCTGCTGACTCAATAACTGCTGAGTTCCAAACCTCCTCTGGCATTAACATCAGCACAAAAACTGTACGCCGGGAGCTTCATGGCATGGGTTTCCATGGCTGAGCAGCTGCATGCAAGCCTTACATCACCAAGCACAAAGCCAAGCATTTGGATGTAAAGCACACCAGCACTGGACTCCGGAGCAGTGGATGTGTGTTCTGTGGAGAGACGAATCACGCTTCTCTGTCAGTCTGATGTACAGGTCTGGGTTTGGCAAATGTTACCTGCCTGACTATGTTGTGCAAACTGTAAAGTTTGGTGGAGGAGGGATAATGCTATGGGGTTGTTTTTTAGGGGTTGGCCTAGGACCTTTAGTTCTGACTTTGTGGGAACAGTTTGGGGAAGGCCCTTTTCTGCTCCAGCATGACTGAGCCCCAGTGCACAAAGGCCTATAAAGGCATGGTTGGGTGAGTTTGGTATGGAACAACTTGACTGGCCCACACCTCCTGACCTCAACCCCATCGACCACCTTTGGGATGAACTAGAACAGTGGTCAAGCCAGGCCTTCTCGACCAACATCTGTGTCTGACCTCTCAAATGCTCTTCTGGACAAATGGGCAAAAATTCCCACGGATACACTCCAAAATCTTGTAGAAAGCCTCCCGGAAGAGTGGAAGCTGTTATAGCTGCAAAGGGGGGGGATCAACTCCATATTAATGTCTATGGATTTAGAATGGGATGTCATAAAAGCTCCTGTAGGTGTAATGTGTAGATATCCCGATACTTTTGTCCATATTGTACACTTAAAAGATCTCACATAACCTTACTGATTGTCTACTGTGAATAGCATGCTGGTAAGGAATTTTGATGAGGCTAGTGGCTCAGTGTTGACTCAAGCTAGTCAGAAATGCTCAGTTAACGTCAACCAACAAAGTGAAAAATGCCCTGTTTTTATATATTGTGTTTGACCAGGTGTGTCCTCAGATTAGATGTGTTACCATGGCTAGCTTTGCATTTCGCAATACAAATATTGCAGAGAGCGTCGTCTGTATCAAGTTTTGAAGCATGTTACCCCTGAGCCTGCTTTTGTTTCACCATTTCGCCAGTACCCTTAAAATTACCAAGTTCGGTACCCGAACCCATACACAAGTGTATTTGTGGTAACACCTAGACACGTACAAATTTGCATGGCGCTAATTTGTGCTTCCATCACTTGTTAGCTACATTAACCTTGCAGCTCCAGTGGAAACCTAAAGAAACATCCCTCAGGGCAAGGGAGAAATCAGTGTAATTGTTTTGAAAAATTGTGTACTTTAGTTTTTGTTTTATGCTGAACTGTTTCTTTAATACTTGGAGCTCTCAAATGCTCATTTGGTGATTTAGGGGAAGCTAGGTGTTTGTAAATAGTGTTGAGCAGTAAAGTTGTGCTGTGAGGGCATGCAGTGTATTTGAAGCTTATGAAGCTTTTTGTTCTTATATTGTTGAATAGATGAAAATATTATACTGTAATGCATTTATTTCTTCAAAAGACCTTAAAGACAGTGATTTACCTGAACGTCTATGGTATTTCTGTTGCAGGTTAGTGTCCAAGGGGCTTGTCCCTTACATTAATGTCCATGAGCATTTCCCTGAAGAGATGAAATTTTTTGGCAGGGATGCCTTGATCTTTAGAGCTGAGGTGGGCAGGGGCTCTAAATTATGTTATGTTGTGTTTGTGATCATGTGAGCAGATTGTATTATATAACTGTGATATATAACTTTGAACTCCTGTTTGAATTATAATTTTAAAACCTTTACTAATCTTTCTGTTTAAGTTAATTTTTGCTGATTAATTGTTGATTATATGTAGCAGATATATGTTTGCTCTATATAGATGTGTTTTTTCTGTAATGCATTTTATCTTCAGCTTGCAATATACATTTTATTATTATTGTTATTGTTATTATTATTATTATTATTATTATACAGTAGCATAATATTCTCCTGTTTCTGCTCTACAGACCATCCCTTCCTACACTAAAGTGCACAGGGAGTCTCTGCACCTGGCTAAAGTTCTGCAGCTCTCTGCTTTCCCTCCTGTGTCTCAGAACTGCCTTCTGCACCCAGTCCTGCTCAGCCTTCGCTACCTGATGGATGCTAACCTCCCTTGTGAGTGAGCTTGACGCTGGAGTAGAGCTATTAAGTACCACTTTCTCTCTTACCACGTCTTCATCTTGTTTTTTCTTAACTCGTTCTTTTTATCAGACAAACTTCATTCACTGCTATGTCAAGTAATAGAGAAAACAGCCATGGGGAAAGACCACTTCCTGACATTTGACCCTTCTGGGTCGAAGTCTATTCTTCTGTGCTATGACCTTCAGGCAGCAGCACTAATCATCGTGACAATGAAGCTTCTCTTCAAATTGGATGATCAGGCGGAGTGGTGAGTTTTCATAATCAAACTAATAAAAGCACAGCATGTGTTGTAAAGTTACTTCAGTGATTTATTAAGACATTTTTGTTATTAGAAGTCCTATTCATGTTGTAAAGGAAATTACATTTTTGATTACTCCAGTTTAGGACCAGCATAATTTACTTCTTGTATTATCCTAGTCCTGCTATAAAAAATGAAATTACACCTCTAGATGGACATTAATTGCCTTTAAAATGTGGAAAAAAAATATGTCATTCTGTAGATCAACCTTGTGTTCTCAGACTTAAACAGTTGTGGATGTGCAGTATTATCCTGTTCATAACTTTTTTTTGGTCCATGACGATGTATGTGTAGAAACTTCAGTGAAAAAATAAAAATATCACAGGGAGTATCTGTCTGTAATGTCTCTTTCAGTCACCTTTTTCTTGCCTTATTGATGATGGTAATCTCTCAATGGGAGAGTGATGGTACAGAAAGAAAAGATATGGAATCTAAGTTCTGAAAAAAAGAACAGCAAAATTTATGAAAATAAATAATTGGTTTCAACCAGTACATGGTTCACAGTAGTACTTCTGTGCTGAACCACTAAAAGCAAATGGGCAAGACTCTCAGAGCTTTACTTGCCTACCTTTGTAGCTGGATATGAGAGTGTGCTAAATATGTGATATGATGTTTGCAGATATTCATGTGTAATTATTGCACAGTCCATCCATTTGCACATGCGAAACCTTAGTTTGCTTGACTGCAGGATTACGTGTGATTGTGTTGATCAGAGTGATTTTGTTTTGTCAGTTTCTGCATTCTGCTTTGTGTTGACATTTAAAGGGGAATTCCAGTATTTTTTTTTATTTCTGCTTTCATCCAGTGAGATCTAAAAAAGGTATTCAGAGAGGTTTGGTTTGAAATATTTGTACCTTTGAACACCACATGGACACAAACTTCTGATAGGACATAGTGCCCATGACTGTTGTTTCCCATTATGTTAACAGTTACTCAAAAATGTTTTCCATCCTTTTTTGCATTTCAGCATTTTCATAAGCCAACTTTTCCACCTCATTCACCTCACTCTGTATGTGAAGTATCAAACCCAATAATGTCTCAGGCAACATATTTCTACCATTTTATGTAAGCAGCTTTTTGTCATGTAGCTTTAAGAGCATTAAACCCTTCAGAGGTCTGGTTCCTGTCACCACCACTGTGAACAATACTGGTTCGAAGATTCTTTAGAATGGGGCATTTTATATGAGATCACTCTAAATAACTTTCTCATTGTAGTAATTAATTATGCAGGAACTTTGAAAAATAGGGGGAATTTCCCTTTAACATGAGTGACATTGCCTAAATCACTGAAGTGATTAAACATTGTCATACTGTTCAGATAATAAATTTTTGTCACCTGTTGTTGCATTTATTTGCAGCACTTTTCTCCAAACTTGATTCTCCAGGTCAAGAAAATGGCAACATAATGATACAGTGACATCACATGAGAACAAAAAAATATGCAGTATTATACAAGTTATTATCAGAAGAATGCTCATGAGTCTGCTTTCCTGTTAGTTTTGGAGTAGTGTCATGTTTTGTTTACATGCAGGTACAATTATATACAGTATGCCACTGTGTCTTGTACAGTTATTATTGATCTTACTGAATAGCTTACAAGAAACTCCAGTGGAATTTTCCCCATTAAGTGGCAAATGAATCGATTTACTTTACCTTACCATCTCAGTATGAGGTCCTTTATCATTTTAATGTGTTATTGAGATCTGGCAAAATAAAACACTACAGATCATAGTTTCTGTTTTGAACTATAATGTAACACATAATTCACTACATGTGTTTTTCTCTCTTGTTAATATTTAAGGAGTTTGTCCAGGAAAGCAAAGAAAAAAGAACAAGACAACGATCAAGACAAGAAAGAGGAGTCCAAGCAAGGTAGTCAGATGTGTTTGTAACATCATCTGTATAACAGCGCTCATCTTTAGTGTAGGAGATAAATTTAAAATCATACTTTTTCATTTAATGATGGTCTTGTGATAGTATACACTGATAGCTTTAGGACTCTCGCACTGCAGTTTCAGAACAGACTCGGGTTATATGTCTGTATTAATGCTTTTGGCAGGCAACAAGATGTTTTGTTTGAGAAGCTGGTATATGATTGTGCAGCCTGCACTGGAGCAAGCCAGGAAGAGAGAGGAGCTTGTCGAGGCCAAGTAAGATCAGTTACTTCTGGTCAAAACCTTCTCTTTCTTCCTTTCTTTGTTGGGAATGTAGTACCTTGACTCCATTAAAACTTTTAATTTGGTTTATAATGTTGCTTTATTGTGCTTCTCAGGCGACAGTGGAAGTCCAAGAAGCCAGTCATTGCATCTATGAAACACAAGACTGTGGTCCTAAAAAGAAGACGTGAGTACATTGCATTACGGTCACCTGAAAGTCTTTTGAAGGGCTCATATCATGGGAAACCCTATTTAAAAAAATAAATAAAAAGCATTCATTTTATATTTGTATGTCACAGAAATGAACACATTTATCTACATCTACCCATTCAACTGCCTAAAGCAGTATACAGCCTGCACATTCAGGGAGTGTTTCAGACTGGACTGTTTTTTAAATCAGACAAAGTACAGGGTTAACAGTCAGAACAAGGGCCATTTAGATATATCAGTCTTAAATGCTCAGTAACAAAAACAGCCTGTTTAATTCTAGGGAATGAAAAAAAAAGGTTGGATAACAGCCATGTAACAATACACGAAGGAAAAATACAAGACAAAAGTCTGATGTGGCCTATTTAAAGGAGCAATATATGATTTCAGTCCAGTACACTTTTTGTCAAATTCAAAGTCTCCAGTCTATGTGCCCATGAAAAAAAACATCCAGTGTTTGTATGCTGCCCTGCCTCCGTAAAAGGGAAATAAAGTGTTTCGGCGCCGCGACACACCATGCTATTCCGGCCAATCAGCAACAGAGGCATTCATGCATGGGACAGGGGGAAAGAGCTAGGCTATGTGCTGAACTCCATTCATCGTCAAGAAGAGGAGATGGCCGAGAAACCTCCCAAGAGGAGAAAATCTGAAGAACCAAGAATGAGAAAGAAGTTCTTAGATCAGGCAAGAGCATTTCAGCAGTGTAGAGATCTCTGAGAGTTAATGATGACAATTACTCACATTTGTATTTGTATTTAGGGCCTGTCAATTATTTGTATTTGTATCTTTCTGTTCCACCTTAAATCATGCAAAGGCTTGATGGAATTGCTGCACCATTCCTGGAACAGGAAAATTAGAACAACAAACTAGAGCCCCTGAATATAGTCTAACTACTGCACTATTTAAGGTGGAACAGGAAAATTAGAACGAGAAGCTGGTAAAAAAAAAAAGCTGACTTCAGCTTCATTAAGAGTTGATGCATGAAAAGAGATGTTTGCTGTTTGACAGAACTAACAGGGCAGTGTTGTTTTGACCCGTTTGCTAGTGTGATAGCAACTGGTTAGCTTCACAGCAGCAATTGTAGCAACAGTTTGCTGACCCACAACGTGGCTAGTTAAATTACTTGCTGTGTGGTCATTTGCTCTAACGTTATATCATGGTATTTATCCACACAACGTTTGCAAAGGGTTTTATGGCCACGAAGATCTTAAAAAAATAAAAAAAACTAGTTTGCCCACCTTGTGTTGTTCGTTTTGGTAATGCATGTCCTTGAATTTAGGGTGCGGAGCTTCTGAAGGAGCACTGAAGGGAGAGATGTATTTGTTTTGCTGTTGAGTTCAAATATCAACAGTCGTTCTCTAGAATCGTGTACTGCGCCTTTAAGCGACACCACTGCAGTACAGTATGTATTATGATTTTAAGCTCAGTCCCCAGTGTTATTTGATATACTTGCTTTTTTGTACATTTGGTTGCAGTCATGATTTCTAGGAAAGATTTTCATACAGATGTATGCAAAAGTTGGGGTGCCCCGGTCAAATTACGTTTTGTTTTTTTTTAAGTGAAAATAAGTTAATACGTCATCTACAGAGAACATGCCTCTGCACTTTGTAACGCACAATTACTGTTTATTTGCTGAATTTAATAATTGAATATATTGGGGTGGATAGAGCCTAAAGTGGTCTGTGTAAAAGTTATGAAAAATCTAATATTTTAGTTTGTACCTGATAGAGCATGTGTACTTATTTTCATTTGGAAAATCAACACAACATATAGTTTGACAGGGGTGGTATCCTTTCAAACTCAACCTGTGTGTTTCTTCACTGTAATACCTGCCTGTGTGGAACAAACCTTATAAGAATCCAGCTCCTCAGAATGGCCAAATGGGATGTAACCTCCAGTATTTCACTCCTGCTGTAGGCTATATTAATAGACAGACAATAAGTAAATTTTTCAAAATACGAAAGGTTTCAATAAATGTTGAGTGTAAATAGTTTCAGTGTCATGTATCCTAAGAATCCACTTCCTTTTTGAGTAAGCTTAGCCTGTGCATAAATGGTATAGTCTGATTTAAAATTCAAGCTTTATAAAAGTTTAAAATGCACTTATAGGAACGGGTTCCTGGACCCAGATTACACCTAAGTCTAAACTAAAATGAATTTCCAAAGATAATTCTTTATGGATACTGAAATTTAATCCAAGGTTAGACTTTATCCATGTCTACAAAACTGGCCCTTAGACTGTTTTCCTTTTAGTAGTCATGCTCAATGTACATTCAAGTCTTAGCCCCAGGGTGGATGAGTGGGTTGCTTGGGCTCCTGCTTAGGGTGGTCAGTTTAAATTTAGATTGTGCTTGAGTTTTTAGTCTTGTGTAAGTGAACACATGCTACTTGTATGTACAAGCACACTTTCCAGAAAAGTCTGATTCTAAATTAATTGAAGATCATTGAGATATTTATCGAGAGTTTTGGGCCCCAGGCTGCAGTGTCAAAACCTGGACAGCTATAGCTAACCGCTACAGTATGTAACTTGCATGAGTGCACTTCATAACTTCAACACACTAAATAAAAGATTATATGAAGTTAAGGAAGTATAAACCAGAACACACAACTTGCCTTAATTCCTGTCAGCTGTATGTATTAGTCATCTCCATCTGCAGCACCAGGCTCAGGCTTCTTTCTCCTCTTTATGTTCAGGTGTGGTTGAGCAGCTGCAGAGCAGTTTCTGCACTCTGGCTGGCTCAGATCCAGAGCAGCCTTCTTCCCCATCCAGCTTCCTCTTCCTCTGGGGAAAGGAGAAGGAGGCAGACGGACCCAGCCTCCACAATAAGCACCTCAGCGGCATGCTGGTGAAAGAGGGAAAAGAAAAGCTGCTTGTCAATAAAAAATACTGGCACACTGACTTCAAGCACTGTCAAAAACGGTAAGACACACATCAGAATGGAATTTCTAGACTGATAACTGACAGCTTGTGCCCTGCTGTAGATGATATAGTTACCAATAACCAAAAGTGTTCTGCATTTTAAAAAAATTGCATGTTACATCTACTCCGTAAATGGAGGGCAGTGAGCGTAAAGCTCTATAAAGATGCGTCACTGATGAAATTTACAATTGTGGAATGGCGAAGTCAGGCATCATTTAAGTTATTTAGAAGATACTTTTACCCAGGGACACTTTTAATGGTAGACATACTTAATGTTAGCTATCTTCCTGAGGGACTCCCAAGACTGCTGCAGGTGTGGTGCTTCAACAGGCAGTGTCCAAAAATTTGTACACACCCTGCCACCAACATTTAGTGTTAATACACACCACTGCTCGGCAGCTTCCAGCACTTCTTAGTTTCACTAAGTGCATCAGTTATCATCATCTTATCACTGCATTAAATTAAAACCAGAAGGAGAACCCAAAAATTGATGGTAGGTGACATGGCTTGAAATTTACACCGCGATAGGCAGCCAGTCTAAAATCTTTAAGATGACCAAAAAAATGTAAATTGTCTGTTATTTCAGCCAGTGTTACCAGCCTAGTAATGACAGTAATGTCATATCAAACTAATTATACTAATTAATTTTACAGATAGTTATTTGGTTTAGGTTTACTTATTCAGTTAGTTGACTGTTCTTATTGTAAAGCCGAAATGTTTTATTAGAAGGCAACTTTTCTGTTGAATGTACACTAAAAAGTATGTGACCATCACTCACATGAGCTTGTTGGACATTCCATTCCAAAAACTTTACATTAATATGGAGTTGCCCCCTGCCTTTTGTGGCTGTAACAGCGTCCACTCTTCTTGGAAGGCTTTCCACGAAATTTTGGAATGTGTCTGTGGGGAAATTTGTGCCCATTCAGTCAGAGAGGTCAGGCATTGATGTTGGACGAGAAGGCCTGGCTCACAGTTGACGTTCCAGTCTATTCCGAAGTTGTTCGGTGGAGTTGAGGTCAGGGCTCTATGCAGTCCACAGGAGTTCCTCCACACCAAATACATTAAACCATGTCTTCATGGATGGTTTATGGTGTAGCTAAAACACCTGCACTCAGTGATTAGGAGAGGTGTCTACATACTTTTGGCCATAAAATGTAGCTTGAGATACAGTTCAAGGTACAGTAAGATTGTGTGCATTGGGACAATTGTGTTCTTTTTGTTTCCATACTGAAGTGTGTCAGATCAAAAGATGAAAATAATGCTGAGGTACAGAATTTCTGCTTTTATTTCCCTGCAGTGGATTATGATGAAATAGACCTATCAAATTCAACTGAAGACTTCTGTAAGCGTAGTCCTTTAAAGGTTTACGTCTTGTTTGTTCATTTTACTATAAATCAGTTAAATGGGAGTCTAACACTAGGCTTTCTGTTTCACAGTATAAATTCATACCTGGAGACTTGACTTGGTACAATTGCACATTTCCTATAAGCTGCACATCTGTTACAAGATGAAGACCATTCATGCGGCACATCTTGTCAGTATTTGCAGGTGGAAAAGCAGTTCAAGCCCCTTTACCTATTTGCATAGTATAGAGTGAACAAGCGCTCGCATGGTCTATTCTGTTTGCTGAGTGACATTTAAATAAATAACAGCCTAAAAAAATTTCTTGCCAGCTGTGTTTTGTTATAGTGAACTCTACACTTGTAAACTCTGCTGTTTTTTTCTGGGTATAGAAGCTGTTGGTTCCATTTTCCTGACCTGGAGCCCACCCTGCCCAGGATGTACGTGTGGGTTCTGGGGCTTTTCTCTTTCCTGCTCGGGGTCAGCAAGGCAGAGGTGCACAAGGAGGTCGTAAAGGTGGAGCAACGATTAATTTTAGGCAAAACTGTGCCTGAAAAAGATACAAATGAACCACAAAGAAAAAGGAAGAGGACAGCACATCCTGTGTGATCTAAACAACGGTGGGTTTTGTTCAGTACAAGTGATGAATCACTGCTTGCATATGTGCCTTATGAGGTTGATGTTGCAAACTGATTGTTTTTTTTTAACAGGACAGTCTCTGTCTCTGTGTTTCATAATAGTCTTTATCACTAAGACTGTTCTGAATCCCCTGTTATTGAAATTAATGTTTGAACAGTTGAGGATTTGCGTGGATATTTCATATTTAGAGAAAGACTTTTTGAATGCTGTCTTTTTATATATGCTGTGCCTCTTTGTTTCTATTTGTAGAAGTTTGGACACTGACAGAAAAGATAGTAAAGAACCTGCCTTTCATTTAATTGCTAGGCATACTCTAAGGCATACTTATAAATAAAGGTTACCTGAAGCGTTCTTGGCCTAGAAGTGCAGTTTAAGAAAAGTCATTTGATTGATATAGAATCTTCAGATGATGTTGTTGGTGTTGATGGTGTTTCTTCTGCATATCTTCTGTTTGTGTTTTGAGGCTTTTTAATGACTCTGATTGAGTCTGCCTCGCTGCTGGCCATCCTTATTCTCTTACCTTCAACTGCTCCAAGCATAATTTTATTTTTCAATAAATTGGTTCTTCTTATGATATGTCCAAAATAAGATTTAAGACATAAAAATAAAATTACTTTTATTTATCTGGTCTTATCTGGTGCCTGTCTCTTTTTGAATTGACTATGATATTTTACTGCTGGTTTTTTAATCGTTTAATGGTTTAGCACCTTCATACATTTCTGAGTACCTGATAGATTATGTTCCAAATTAAGCTTTAAGCTCATCTAGTGTGAGATCTGGAACACATTACCTATAACCATCAGTCAGGCTCCTTCTGTCAGTCTTTTTAAAAAAAGTTATTTTTTACTTTGGTGTGTAACTAGTTTTTTTATTGTTTCCTTTGTTTTTACTGGAATATTAGTATTCTATTTTCTTGTTAATTGCATTTTTTTTATTTATAATTTTATATTATGCTTTCTAATTGTAATTATTTATTATTTGTTTATTATTTTCGTTTTTGTTTTGATTATCTTTTTTCTCTTCTTCCTCTGTTGTTTTACTTTGTATTGTGAAGCACTTTAAGCTGCATTTTAAATGTATGAAAGGTACTATATCAATAAACATTTATTATTATTATTATTATTATTATTATTATTATATTTTATTATAATTATTAGAGTGAGAATAGTCAAGGATCTTTTTTTTCTGTTAAAGGTAGTTTTAAAAATCTTTGCTGGCACCAGAGTTCAGAGATATTAATATTTTTCCTATCCTGCTTAATCAACACTTACTCTGTTGTGCCTATCCATGTGGCCTTCTTGGTAAAGTACAGAAGAGGTTTACCATTGCCTTCTTCCATACTATTGAATTGATGGTCTGCTATGATCGTTCTGCATTGGGAGACCCTGAAAGCAGTTAAAACTCCAACCGGCATAGTACTCTGCTTTACCGATTGCCTTCTCACCTACCCAAAGCACCAGAACATGTTCCCACAAGGCCAGCCAGTTGTCTCAGGGGTGTAGCGTATGACACAGCAGGCTGTGGACAGTTTGTACACACAAACTTGGCTGGAACCTTGGGGTCACCCACCCTGGCCTTCTCCAACAAAGCAAACTAAAGATTTCCAGATATCCTATTTAAATATCAACAGTTGTCAGTTTTTTGTAGTACCATGTCAGCATTGGCCTTGCAGGGAGCGTGTTTTGCTGCAGAATGCTCTCCTGTTGGTGTCAGAAAAGATCATACTAACGGAGTAGTGACCACAGAGAGCCAAACAACCCTGTACACAACTCTGAGCTTCATCATGACCTCCTGTGTACCCAGTAACACCCATGGGGATCATTATTAACAGTCACAGATGTTTGTCTTTGAAGTGTGAATACAGTGGAGTGTGCAGTGTTTTCTCTCTCTGAAGGAGAGTTAAAGAAGTCTCAGATGAGTTCCAAAATCTCATTATTGACATTTCTGAGCGAGAGCAAGTAGAAATCTGGCACAGTTTGTTATTGCAATACTTTTTCCCCCATGTAGTTTTGTGGTTAAAGGGGAATTCTGCAAATTTTTCCAAATTTCTGCAAAATCCAATTAGAGTCTTTACAGTGGTGGTGATAAGAACCAGTGGGCAGGATACCTACTATTTAAGTATTGCCATTTTATTTACTGTCCAAAATGACCACTCAACTTAGATGTGTCTTCTGAATTTTTATATGTAATGTTGATAGCTATAAAGTAGTAAGTTTGGGGAAAAAAAAGGTTACTCTGGGAGCTGTTTGTCTCACAACACCCTCTGTAAACATCACCACCATTATTGTATTTTAAAAATCAGTTTAAGGCCAAAATCTTTTTTCAAAAGCTGTCCAAAAATGGTGTCTCAGCTTCAGGCATATATTCATAACCCTTCCATGGAATATTTTATGTCATGTACGGTTTAGAGGGTTTATTGAGCTTCAGATATTCGGTTCCTACCACCATCAACGTGATCAATTCTGACTCATTTTTAATAACTTTTAACACTTTCCTTTTGCATTTTTAAAAATCGATGCAATTCCTCTTTGAAATCTCAACTCAGCAATGGCTGTAGTTACAGAGATCTACCACTAGGGGGAGACAGACACAAGATTTAAGGACAACAAAGAATTCTTTTGTCCTGTTGCTTTTAGCCCCAGCCTGTTATCCAAGATCAAAAATGTGTCAAAAAGAAGTTAAAATGATGTGAAGTACAAAATGCACGTTGATTTATATTGTGCCTATTTATGTTTTCTATATTTCCACTCTGTAATAAAAGGGAACATTAACCTGAAGAGGGTCTCCTTTGTTCTCAGAGATCTTTGTCTTGAAGGTCCTGTTCTCCTACAAGCGTGGGTGAGGGGACAAAGGGGGGGCAAGCACAAGATTCTTCATGAAGACAGGAAACTATTACGCAAGAGGGCAAAGGCAAGCAGACCCTCCAGTACAAGTGGCCTACAAACCTGTGAGAGAAACAAAGTGAAAGAAGCCAATAGACATAAGATCAGGCAATGCTGAGAAATGTTCTGTATCATTTTGAAACTGATGTAGTCATAACGCTCAGCCAAGGCGGGGACCTGGAAAGGTTTCTTTGAAACTCTGTTAAGATTACTGAACACTCTCAGGGGAAGAAAAAAAAATACTTTCTTTCAGGGTCCAAACGCTGTCGCTGTGGTGGTACTTTTAAGGGCACATCTTAATTATCTTCAGTTAGGGAACATGACTGTATCGTGGTTGCTCCACACATTCTGTCTTCGCTCCAGGTTTTTATTTATTTTTACCATGAAAAAATATATGAAAAGGTACAAATATGCCCCTTTCTGCTGGGAGAATGACTGTAGAGAACCTTTAAAACACTGAACATTAAAGGTATAACCTTATGTTGTAGCTTTGAGGATACGTTTACATTGTTTGTACCCAAAATTTGCAATAATTTGTTTCTGATAGCGGAATTAAAACTACAACCTAAAGCAAAAGACAACCTCACTAATATTTACTTGATCTCCATACATTTATAATGACTTCCTAATTTAATGATGTGCATGAAGGAGTATAATTAGAGTTACATTACCACAACATTTTAAGCTCAAAGGCTAAAGCTTAATCTTATTATTATTACTTCAAAAAGTACAGTCGGATGCAAAAGTTCGGCTGCTCTGGTCAAGTTTCATGTTTTGTTGATTTTCTAAGTGAAAATAAGTTACACATCATCTACAGAGAACACACTTACATTTACACTTAATACACAATTACTGTTTATTTGCTGAATTTAACGTATTGGGGCAGAGGAGGGGATGGGGTTGAAATATTTTTTTTTTGGTCAAATATGTTAAACTCAGCAGGTAAATGGCAATTGTGCCCTAAAACATGCAGAGAAATGCTTACTTTCCCTTAAACCATCTGACTAGGGGGTTTGCATATGACTGTGTATCATGTTTAAAGGCTACACTCAGCTCATGGCTGCCAAAGTCCCAACTATAGCAATCAGTGCAATGAAGGTGCTTCTTTTGACACCTGATGTAGCTTCTTCAGGACGCAGCATCATGTAAATCACTATGTTCTCTCAACCACTGCCCTTCTACTGCGTACACACACTGTTATTACCTCCTACATACAGTACCAAAGCGCTACTGAAACTACTCACCACAGTAAAACCACTCAGTACTTCTGCTCATGACACGCCCTTCATTCCACCATGCAAACCGTGAATTAGTGGATTGGAGATGATGTCATATCAAACGCCCCAAGACGGTAAAAGAGAGTAAAAAATCAGTTAGTATTGGTGAAGATAATTGTGTTATTAGTAATAATTAATTTATTTAGTATAGTAATATTGTGCTATATTTAAGAGAGCAGTAGAACACTGGAAGTATTTACACAGTAGTGGAATAAAGACAATAAAATAGTATAATATTCTGGATCACGTTTCACATTTTATCTGACCAGTGACCGCTGGGATAGGCTCCAGTTTCATTTTGGCCAAAGACTGAGAGAATGTTTATTGAATATTATTATAATCAATTCTAACAAAGTCCAACATGAGTTGGAAATCATTGCAACCTCTCCTTTTCTTACCGTAACATATTACAGAGTGTAACACATCTTCAAGGAGGGTCTCTGATCTAGCTGAGCATGTTTGCCTGATGACTGGTGGGGGAGGTGAACCACGATGTTATTGATTAATGTTTTCTCCCCGCCTACAGGTGCACAGTGACGTAATCAAAACGTTTTGGAGATGGGCAATGTTACTACACTTTGCTTAAACATTACAAACTACAAGATTATCTTTGAAATGATAAATCATTTAAAAAAGATCACTTTTGATTTCATTAGTAAGAATTGCTTCAGATTGATGAATCCCAATGAATCGCTTTTAAACCCCTCATGAACAGATCCTGAGGGGCAGATGACAGTGTAAGTCCAGACAATGGCTATGTTTACATGCAACGATTTTTGCCAATCCGATTGAATACAATCCGATTACAGATTTAGACTGAGGTGTTTATATGCACTCTATTCAACAATCTGATGGAAAATCTTCGTTTACATGCTCACTACAAGTAATCCGATGCAAAATGACGCGCATGCGTGGAGTAGCGCTTAGAGTAAACGTTACCATGACAGCGAACATCACGTGAGGTCCAGACCAGTTTCTGCTCCGCCATGTTGAGCGGTGTAAACTTTCGCCGTGACGCGACGCACATGCGCAGAACATACTTACACGTTCCGATTGGAATGTAATCGGATTCAGGCGTTTACATGGCTATTATTCTTCTATTTAACGGATTATTTAGAAGTTTACCCACCTCGTTTAATCGGATAGAAATTGTATTCCGAATGGCCTCAATCGGATTAGACTATTCCGATTGAGGTGTTTACATGGACGTATTCTATTCCGATTGAGCTATTAGTCGGATTATTAACGGATTATCAGGCTGCATGTAAACGTGGCTAGTGAAGCAGATGTTTTGTGTATACATTAATGACGTGGATATGTGAAGGTTCACATTGTAAGAGTCTCAATTAATAGTTCAAACATAAATGAATGCATAGGAAAATCAAAAAGCCTTGTTGAGTGTTCTAACATCTGATCATTTAAGACCCCTGCTTACTGCAGTCTAGAGAGAGTGAGAGACTGGCCGTGCTGCAGCAACGAAGCTGAAGTTGTTTCGTTCGAATTGCTCGTTCCACCTTAAATGGTGCAGCAGTTGTATTCTGGCGTCTCGGGACTTCAGCGCCAGAAAGTGACTGCTGCAGCATTTAAGGTAGAACGGAAAATTCGAATAAGAAGCGACCTCAGTCACGTGAAGCAGCTGAGGGAGCGCGGGGGGGGGGCACATAGAGCAAGAAAGAGAGAGAGAGAGCGCCTCTGTGC